GGAGGGAAACCATGCATGTGTGCACGTATGTGTGTGTGCGTGTGTGTGTGTGTGTTTGTGTGTGCGCGTGCGTGAGCTTGTGCTTGTGTGCCTGCGTTTGTCTGTGTGCATGCCTCCTGCCTTCTGCCTGCCCGTGTGCCGCCTTGCTCACGGCCCTGCCTCCGTGCACCCGTCGCCCCTGCCTCTCTACTGTGTGCTGCTGCTGCTCGGTCCGACTGGTGCTCCCTTGCAGCAGGAGGCGCGCCGTTGCGTTCGGAGCATGAGGAGAACCTGAGGCAGGCTGTGAAACACTTAAGGGACACGGAGCCCCTCCCCAACCAAAAGGGTTCCTTCTTCAGCGCCCCGACTGTAGCTCCCCCCCCCTTGAGGAAAACTCTAGAGGCTTACCAAGGAGCCCCTTGTGGCCGTCGCCTCACGCTTCTCCGCATTGCTTCACCTGCGTCCCCTTGCGGTGCACTGCGCGTGCGGCGCGTTTCACTCGGCCGCCACGGCTCGGCCTGGCGCCGGGTCTGTCTGCTTTCCCTCCGCACCCCGTCTTCGTCCCGCGCCACCACCCTCTGTCGCTATCGTCTCACCTTGTGGTCTACTGAGGCTTGTGGTGCCGCGGTTGCGAGCTCGCCACTGCTTTCTCCTCCTCCTCCTCCTCCTCTTTGCCATCCTTCCTCTTTTTTTTTTTTTTCTCTCTCTCTCTCTCTCTCTCTGTGAGGACAGGACAACCCACCCCCCACCCCCAGCCAGCACCCCCACTCCCGACCTAGTGATCCAGGGGGTCCTGCCTGGGGGTGGAGATCAGCAGAAAACCACACCCCCACCCCCACCCCCAGCCAGCACCCCCCCCTCCCGACCTAGTGATCCAAGGGGTCCTGCCTGGGGGTGGAGATCAGCAGAAAACCACACACACCCACCCCCAGCCAGGACCCTACCCTTTGGATAATCAGGTCGGGAGTGGGGTCCTGGGAGTGGGGGTGATTTGTGCTGTCATCTCACTCTCTCTCTCATCTCTCTCTCTCTCTCTCTTTCTATCTCTTGTTCCCTCTCTCCCTCTCTCCCTGTCTTGCATCTGCCTGTTTGCTATGACCCTCTGGTCGACTACGTTCGTTTCGTGCTGGGATCTTCAGGTCTAAGCGAGTGTCCACATAAAGTGTAAAACTCCTCTGCGGGCGTTCCCCCCAGGCGTCCCACCTATTGTTTCCAACCACTCATTGGAGTCACCAGCGCGTCGCACAGCAGTGTGTTTGTGTGTGTTGTGGATTTGTGTGTTTGGAGGGGGCGCGCGCGTGAGTGTGTATGTGTGTATGCATGTATGCATGCATGTATTTGTGTATGTGTGCATTAATGAATGCATGCATGTATGTATGTGTGTATGGACGCGCGTGTGCTTGTATGTAGGTACGTATGATGGGATGCATGTATGTATGATGGTCATGTGTGTATGGTTGTTGTATGCATGTGTGTATGGATGTGCGTATGTGTGTATGCAAGTATGTGTGTATGTATGTATGTATGTATGTATGTATGTGTGTATGTTTGTATGTATGTGTGTATGTATGTATGTATGTATGTATGTATGTAGGTAGGTAGGTAGGTAGGTAGGTAGGTAGGTATGTATGTATGTATGTATGTATGTGTGTATGGATGTATGTATGTGTGTATGCATGTGTGTATGGCTGTGTGTATGCATGTATGTATGTATGTATGTGTGTGTATGTATGTATGTATGTATGTATGTATGTATGTATGTATGTATGTGCGTGTGTGTATGTGTATGTATGCATGAATGCATGCGTGCCCATGTCTGGATGTTTGTATGCATGTATGTATGTGTGTATGTATGTGTGCCCGCATGTGTGCGTGTACGTATGTTTGTATATGTATGCATGTGCTCATGCTGTATGTATGTATGCTTGTATGGTTGTACGATTGTACGATTATAGGTATGCATGCATGTCTGGATGCATGTGTGTACGCATGTATGTATGTAAGTATGGTTGTATACATGTGGGTATGTGTGTGCATGTATGTGTGTATGCAATTGTGAATGCGTGTATGTATGTACGGATGTGTTTAGGCTTGTGTACGTGTGCATGTATGAAAGCATGCATGTGTGCATGTATGTCTGCCTGTAAGTATCCATGTGTGTCTGCATGTATGTACGCATGGAGATATGATTGTACGTTTGTGTGTATGTGTATGTATGCGTGTATGTATGTGTGCGATGGCAGGTGCGGCGATCCAACATGATCCCGCTTCAAGGTCTGGCCGCGCGCGTACGCTCCCGCTGCTTTCGACTTACTCCGCCTCGTCGCAGCGAGATGTGTCTGTGCGGGTGTGCGTGTATGTGTGTGAGTCTGTGTCTGTGTGTGTCTGTGCGTGTGCGTGCGCGTGCTTGTGTGTGTGGATGTGTGTGTGTGTGGATGTGTGTGTGTGTGCATGTGTATGTGCGCGTGTGTGTGTGTGTGTGCGTGTGTGTGTGTGTCTGTGTCTGTGTCTGTGTCTGTCTGTGTGTGTCCGTGTGCATGTGCGTGCGTGTGTAGATGTGTGTAAATGTGTGTGCGTGCGCGCGCAAGCCCGATTGCGTGCGCGGGCGCGTGCACGTGCGAGCGTACAGCATGGTTGTCGCCCCCCAGGTCTCAATGATCTCGATCTCCGGCATCAGGAGCTCCTCGGCGGGTGTTGACACACGTCAGGGAGTGGGCAAGTGAAGCATCTCTGGTGCAGCCAGAAGGCCTCTGAGCCCCAGTAGGAGGGGGGAGGAGGAGGAGGAAGGAGGATGGAGGAGGGAGGAGCGATGCCCCTTCATGCGACTGCACTGTGGACGCATCAGCATCGAGCCCTGACGTGGCGAACACTTTGAGGGGGGATAGCCCGTCCTCCTGCCCCATGTCTCGACCGGCTACGGCTCTACCAATGAACTCAGATCCCCACCTAGATCGAAGACGCCTCTCGTGATTAATGCGTACTGACCCCGACGTCGACGCCAAAGATGAGAACAACCACATCAATAACACTGGCAGAAGATCCTGGAACACGCGGTCCTTGTGACCAAATCAGGCTAAACAATAGTTTGGGTAATAATATCTCCTACATAACTGTTTTGGTACACCCACTGGCACGCACACACGCGCGCAAATCTGTGTTGAAGTATGTTCAAAAGGCCATTGGCTCACTGTCCGTTGCTACTTTGGCGAGTCGCCACCGCACGCGGTAGATTCTGAAGGAAACCACATAGACATGCAACGTCTTGATCTTTCAATACGAGGCCCCGAATTCTTGAGCAGCGACCGACCGTCCCGACATTTCTATAGGCCTACCACGAGATGTTCTTAGAACCCCCAAATGTGTTAATAACAAAGCAATGTTCTTAGAACGTGAGCCCGATGCGTTAAAACAATCGACCCCATCCAGAAGTGTCCTGAGAACATTGCGTGGAAACCGCAAAACAATGTTCTTAGAACATTCTTTGGTGGGCCTGCAGGCGAGCCAGGCTGCTTCGCCACTGCTTGAAAGTCTCGACCCTCTCCCCAGGGCCAGCCCAGGAGACAACTACTGGGAGGTTTTCGTCGGAAGGACTAAGGAGGGTTAAGCCCCATTGGAGGGCCGTGATGCCAGAGTGGGCCTCGGATTAAGCGGGATTAAGCCGGATTAAGCGGGATTAAGAAGGATTAAGCCGGATTTCGGACCAGGGCAAAGTCAAAATTTAACCTCGCAGGAGTTGCATTCGAAGCCAGCCTTCCATCCCAGGTCGTTTCTGTTGACGGATCGGGGGCCCGCCGAGGGCCACTAGGGCCGCGCGGCGCGCGGCTCGACGCTCGTGGCCGCGCGCCCGGCCAGCGGAAAGCAACGGCGGGGCGGGAGGGCCGACTTCCACCACCGCTACTCCTTAGGCTAATCCAAGACCAGGAGAAGGAGAGGTCCAGGCAAACCCAGGCTACCACCACCGAGGCTACCACCGAGGCTACCAGACAGGGGAGACCTTAGGCTACCACCACCGAGGAGGAGAAGGTCCAGTGCAAACCCAAGACTCCTCAGCGATCTTGCGATCAACCCTCTCCCCGAGCTCCCTCCTCGCAAGCCCCTGCACGTGCCCATTTGCAAAGAAAGAAGTGCCCCGTTGGAAGACAACCGTGTGGAAATCTGGAACTGCGCCACAACACCATTACTGGCATCTCAACGCTGCGAATCCCCGTTGCTGCTGCGCCTGGGCGATCCTGCATCGCACCAGAACGCCCGTCCTGGGACTTTAAATACGGCAAATCAACTTGACTGTTTGCGCACTGACATGTTGGCATCGTACCAAAAACACGAACTCTGGGGCGCTAGCCACGAACATTATTGAAACTGTTGCGGACGTTTAACACGAACGTGCGGGGCGTGAAGGCGAGAACCATACTTTGAAAAAGAGCCGCCCTCAATATGTGAAACCCTTGCAAACTGTTGGGACCAATGTGCGCGGCGCCAAGGCGAGAGCCACATGTCGAAAACGGCCCGCCCTTCATCCGTGAAGCTCTTGCCAACTTCTTCAACGAATGAGCGCGGCGCTGAAGCGAGAGCACAATTTGAAAACGGCCTACCCTTCATGAGTGAAACCCTTGCGAATGCGCGTGGCGCTAAAGACAGAAAGACCACCCACTGGTTGAAGACCACGCGCCCTCCATCCGTGAAGCTGTTGTAAGTTATGAGGAAGTCTCAGACGAAGCGCCCGGCCAGACCTTTCGACCAGCCTCGGGGTGCGACACGGAAGATTTATTCGCAAGGGAAAAGAATTGAAGGAGGAGGAGGAGGAAAAGAAAGAGGAGGAGGGGGACCTCCCAACCTCTTTTTCCCCCACCCTACCTATGGTAGAGGTGGTGTAACATCGGCCCATCCGTGCCAGGAGACTGCTGGCATCGGCGCGGGGCTTGACAAGGGGCTAGGAGGATTATCAGCGGATGCCAAGGTGGGTTATATCTGGCCTCACCTAGCGTACAAGAGGACGACACATTCCCCAAATATTTCAGGGGGGTGAAGATCCGACCTAAGCGGGATCCGCCCACTTAGCGGAGCTATGCACCCTAAGCCATTTGGGGTTTGGGAAATCCACTTGATGGCTAGATTAGGGAAGATATAACCCACCCTGGGATCCACTGATAAACCCCATTCTCACCTTAGCAACTCCCGCGCCGATCCAAGTACGGTGGGGAGAGGTTGCCTGTCGCCCGAAGCCACCACGGGACATATTCTGCCATGTTCGGCCTCTGCTGGGGGCCTGTAACCGTGAAGTGACGGCTCGGGATGACAAAACCGGCCCCCGGGAAGCGGTCCAGGCTTACACTGACGCTGACGAGAGAACAGACAGAGGTGGCAGCGACGGTCCCCGATGCGAGAGCGATATCACGCCATCCGCAGGCATCGCTTCGTCGGCTGTCGAGGCACGCAGAGCACACACACACACACCAGCGAGGCACGGGCGCACCGCCCGAGGGCGAGCAGCGGGAACAACGTCGACGAGTCCAAGCTCGGCAGCCCGCACCTCAGAGCTTGGACAGGCATGGCAACCTACCTACAGTACAGCAGGGGCCCGACCACAAGAAGCCTTCCACAAGAAACCCTACAACCCTGAGACCCCAGGGCGTCCATTGATCTGTGGTGTGGGAACGTCGCGCTCGCTATCGCAAAACCATTAGAGGCCTCCTAGATGGGGTCCGAGTCCATGGGGTCGGAGGATCGCGCCGCATCGCCAATGCATCGCCAACGCATCGCCGATGCATCGGCGATGCAACATTGGCATCGGCGATGCGTCGGCGACGTCGGCGTGAAGAACATCGGGCTGCACATCGAGCCGCATTGCCAAAACATCGGAGATGCGACGCGATCCTCCGACCCCATCTGCCCGGACCCCATCCGGGGAGGGGGAGGGGGATGGGGAGGGGGAGGGGGAGGAGGAGGAGGAGGAGGAGGAGGAGGAGGAGGAGGAGGAGGAGGAGGAGGAGGAGGCGAAGGAGGAGGCGAAGGAGGAGGAGGAGGAGGAGGAGGAGGAGGAGGAGGAGGAGGAGGGGGAAGAGGGTCGCACCCTGGAGGCCAGCAAAGGTGCTCCTCGGCGTGGGCCTCCGCTGCCGGGGCGCACGCTGGCGACGCCGCGCGGCGACGGAGGCCGTCGGCCGGCGCACCGGGCACACACACCGGGCATGGTCGTGCGGCCGTCCCCCAGGCGCGGCAGAGTCGGTGCCGGTGTCCGGGGTGCGCCGCGGGAAGTGCGAGAGGCGGGGATCTGTCCACAGCCACCGCCCGGGAACCGACGTCCTGGTGCCCCAGCGGGCGGCGGAGATGGACACATGTCGGCCCCTGGGGGGCCGAATTTGTACATCCCCACCGCCTGGGGAGGTCCGCGAAGATCGAGTCCCCAGGCGGTGGTTATGGATAAAGCCCCGCCGCGGGACAAGGGCAGGGAGGTGCGCCAGGGTAGCGAGAACGAGGCATGCACGCTCCAGTTCGAACCTCATCACATGACGTACGACCAGCTTCGCACGATCGTGGCCAACCAGCCGAAGGCAGAGGGGGCCGTCCGTCGCGTTGGAGGGCGGCCCCGAGGGTGTCACTGGAGCGAGAGAGTTGGGCCGCCAGGTCAACACGTGCGCGAAGGAGCCCATAGAAGAATGCAGCCTTGTGACATAGCGTGGGTCTCGTCACCATCGCGTAGTCCTCTCTTCCGCATCATGCAGTCCCACGGAGCCTTCAGCGACAGTGCTAGATTTCGTGAATCAATGTGACCAGGACGCCCCCCTGCCACACCAGATGACCGTGCATGCGCCACCCATCTTCCGGTTCCAGGGCCCGCCACCCCGACCCCCGAACCCAGAGAACGGGCGCGGCAGGGGAAGGAGGATGAGCAGGAGGAGGAGGAGGAGGAGGAGGAGGGGGAGAAGGGGGAGGGGGAGGGGAGGAGGGGGAGGGGGAGGGGGGGGGGGAAGAGAAAGGAGGAGGAGGAGGAGGATGACCAGTGTAAAACCAAGACTTGTGTTGGAATAAACCCTCCCTCCAAGCTCCCTCTTCAGAGGCCTCCACAAAGATGCATTTCCAGTGATGGAAGTGCCCCTTTGGAGACAACCGCCTGAAGATCCTGAAGCGTGCCAGACCAGCATTCTCGGGATTCGAACGCCACAAATCCATCTGACTGTTGCGTCTTGGCGATCCTGGGACCTTAGCCGCATTTTCGGAACCAGAACGCCGTTCCTAGGACTTTACCACCGCGAATCAACGTAACCCGATGTCCCCGACAATCACAGGTTGAGGATAATCAACGTCGGGGTTCCAGCGGGATAATAAACTTTTCCCGGCAGGTCGCAACGTTAAGGAGGAGGAGGAGGAGGATGAGGAGGAGGAGGAGGAAGAGGAGGAGGAGGAGGAGGAGGAGGAGGAGGAGGAGGGGAAGGAGGAGGAGGAACAGGAGGAGGAAAAGCGAAGGAGCTTGTTCTTTTATTGGGGGGGTAACGCCCGTTACGGGGGGGGGGTCTGGCCCCAAGTTGGGGGTAGCGGTAACGCGCGGCGGGGCCCTCGCACGGGCCCTGCTACTTATTACCAGCACAACTGTCGGCACGGTAGGCTTCGTCGTCGTCGTCGTCGTCGCCGCTGTCGTCGTCGTCGAAGCCGACCGTGCCTGTGCACACTACACAGGCTCTGTACACC